AACTGTTAGGAAAGATGATTTCCTGTATGGGGATAGTGCCATGGGCTAGACTACACTCCAGAACCCTTCAATGGCTCTTACTCCCATTTCAGAGACAGGGCACCAGCTCCTTCAACCAGAGAGTAATGGTTCTGCCTCAAACCCTAGAGTCCCTTCAGTGGTGGACCTCCCCAGCAGTAGCCAAAGGCTCCTTATTCAAGGAACCAGCCAGACTTACCCTAATGACGGACACCAGTCTGTTCGGCTGGGGGGGGGGGGCACACCTACATTCACAATTAGCTCAGGGCCAATGGTCACAATCGGACCTCAAACACAACATAAACTGGCTAGAGCTCAGGGCCATACATCTGGCACTGCACCACTTCAGCGACAGGGTGGCAGGACAACATGTCCTAGTGCTCACAGACAATGTGGCAGCAAAAGCCCATGTGAACTGGCAGGGGGGTACTCGGTCCAGGTCCCTCATGACTGAGGCCCAACTGCTGAATTCTTGGGCAGAAACCAACCTCCCTCCAAGCAGAGCACATCTCAGGAGAGGCAAACCAGCAGGCGGATTCCCTGAGCAAGTCGACAGTGGACCACTCAGAGTGGCGCCTGCATCCCGATCTATTCAGGGAGATCTCGGAGAGGTTCGGACTCGCAGTGCTGGACCTGTTCACCTCCCCAACAAATGCCCAGCTCCTGAGGTTTTTCTCCCGATTCCCATGTCCAGGTGCGTAGCAGGTGGACACCCTCAGCAGTTCATGGCCCAAGGGCCTGCTCTATGCCTTTTCCCCTCTCCCTTTGCTCCCAGCCGTTATCCGGAAGATACTACAGGAACGGGCAGAGGTGATATTAGTTGCTCCACACTGGCCGAGACGACCGTGGTTTGCCAACCTCGTGAGCCTTTCCATCTCTCCGCAGTGGAGGATTCCTCCAGATCATGTGGCACTCAGCCAAGGGGCCCTACAGCACCCGGACCCTCAATGGCTCCAGTTAGCCACCTGGCACTTGAACAGTGGCTCCTGACACAAGAGTCCTACCCGGTGGGCGTTATCTCCATGATTCAGGCCGCAAGATGTCCCTCAACCAACAAGATCTATGACTCCTCATGGAAGAATTTTTGCCACTGGTGCACAAGGAACCACCTCGATCTTTCGACCATCACCATCCTGAAAATCCTTGTGTATTTACTGGAGGGGCTCAACAAAGGCTTGGCACCCAATACCATCTGCAGGCAGGTGGTGGCTCTATCCACGGTGCTTACATGTGACAGTTCAATGCCACTGGCTCAGCAACATCAGCAGCGTGGGCATCACAGGCATCCATTGGGGATATTTGTAGGGCGGCGACCTGGTCCTCGCCTTCCCCATTCGTGAGGCATTACAGGCTGGACAGATTTGCCTCCCCCATCCCCCACTCCCAATTTCAGGGCAGCTGGTGACACTTCTTAGTATAAAATCAAATTTGGTACGATTTGGGGGGAAATAAATAAATGTTTAGGCCTGCTAAAAGCTTTCATAATCTGTAACCAAAATTAAATTTATGCTTTCCCCTGGATAAATATAATTGTAAATCCTCTGACCTTTAGAAAAACAAATTATGGATGTGGCCAGATATTATTAGTTTTGCAGCAGTCAGTATTGATAACATGCATGTCTTATTCAGATTTTAATTCTGTCTTCATATGTTAAAAAGCCAAAGGAAAAGTTTTAGTTGCATATCTTTCTGTTGAAATCTAGAACAGTCACATCTTCGACAAGTTATATTAAGCTGCTTTGTCGTTGTTAACTTGGTTATTACCTGCATTTTGAGTGCTTTCCATTCTTCCCTTTCATTAACCTAACATAAATTATTGAGGAAAAACTATTCATTTGGTTTTAAACATGTATTCCTTAAGACAATAATCATAAGGTCCTGACAAGATAATATATCTGTCTTCTACTTGAAACAAAGCAAAATGCTTCCTTAAATATAAACTTTGCCTGAGAATTTTTTGTTCTGCACCAGAAATAATACTGTTCATATATTTCTGTAAGGAACAGTTCTTGTGGCTTTTTTTTTTAAATCAATGTATAGGGGGATGTTGTCCTTGGTAAAACATCAATTCTTATATATTAATGCCAGCAGAGACACCGTTTGATTTGGTGATTAAGACCGGGAATTAGGCACGAAGCCAGCTGGGTCACTTTTGGCCACTCCCTTCATCTCAGACCTAGGAAGAAGACAGTGGCAATCTACTTCCGAAAATGTTGCCAAGAACATTGCATGAATCTGTCCAGACCAGCTACCAGGAATCTAGAGAAAGTTTAAGGCAAACAATTAAAACAATATAAAATAAAATCCAGCATATTACTGTATTAGAATAACAGACACTTGGAATTGGTGACTAAGAAATCTAGAACAACATTTTGGATTTGAAAGAAGCACCAGTATGTAACGATATATTATAGACGTAGCTAAATGTTTTCATTAAAAATAATTTTATTTGGGTCTGTGTTTTATCTGTTTTTATTGATTTATTTTATTTGTATCCACTTTTTTTCTTTTTAATTCTATAATTAAAATATTTTTTTTAAAAGGAGCTGGCAAAAATATGCTGGCTATTCTCTCAAATTGGGCATTTGTTTTGTCAGAAAATAACCAGTTAGGTTGTTTTCAATACTTCCAGAAATGACATGGTTTAAATAATCAGAGACAAAAAATACATTCCGTTCCTACTTTGTCTTAGAAAAACTACATAATTATGGATATTATATCTTCATAGTTGTCCAGGTCTAGCATATAATTAATGTTTACTTAAAAATTGGCTTGGCAAATTTATATTTTACATTTATATGAATAACATGGAACACCTTAAAACAATTTTGAATCCTTACAATTCAGCATATTTACATGCTGGATTTTAAGGCAAAGCTCATGACATCAGTGTTGTAACATTGAGATGAAATATATGAAGATGTTAAATCATTAGAAAACTTCTGACAAAGAACAGAGAAAGAATCCATGTTATTGCATATCGTTAAAAACAGCAGAGTAACATTGATGAGTATTTAGTCTATATTTGAAATTCCATTCTATAGGGTCAGTTCATAGTAACATACAAAGGAAGTTCTACAGCTATAGAGCAACACTGGGAAAATTACTCTACTATCCAGAAACGTTGGCATTCTGAATGCAAAATTGCTATCTACTGCTCCCAGTTTGGTCTAATACAGATCTGGGCATTTTACAGCCAGCAGACCACATCCAGCCAGTACAGCCTGCAGCAATGGGTGGCAGGAGGAGCATCATCAGGCATGGGATGGTGCTGTAATTTAAACACTGAATGCTGTTACAACACAGATGCATTAGTATTAGCTTATATGCTTATAAAATATTTTCTAAGCAAGAAGAATAATGTGAAAAAAAAATCTCATTGTTTTAATGACAAAATATTTCTAAGCTTAAGTTCTCCATTATTTAGATTTATTAAGACCAGCATCAGGTTAGAGTTTCAATGTTGGAAAATACAGTACATTTTTTTTTTGCCAATGTCTTCCTCTTTCTTCCAAACTAAAATGACACAGAGGTTTTCTTCAAGCTTATATGACATTTACTTGACAGTGAATAGCAATGTTCCACTGATAGCTTAATTTGCAGTCTCACATTCTCTTTAATACTAAAGACACACGTTAAGAAATATTTCTCTGAATCTGGAAAGGAATCCAAGCTAGTTTAATCTATAAAAAGCAGTATGTACCGTAATTTCTGGTGTATAAGGCGACTCGGTGTATAAGACGACCCCCGACTTCGGCACCAATTTCCATGCCTAGAAAGTCATCTTATACGCTGGAAACTACCATAATTTCCGGCGTATAAGATGGCATATAAGACGATCCCCGACTTCAGCGCCAATTTCAACACTTTAGAAAGTCGTCTTATACGCCGGAAAATACGGTACTTATTTAAATATCTATAGAAACCAAAACTAATTTAGTTTTTACATAAGTTTTTAAAAGTTGATGGTAAGTGAACACTGTACCCAAACATTGTTCTAACTCATTTTGTATAGTGTAGGAAGGTCAGCTAACTAAGTAGGATTACTCACTAAGTTCCTGTTTCATGAATATTGACTTTAGTTAAGCAAATAAATCAGCCAGGATAGTCAGAGAATAGCAAGGAAACAATAAGGCACAAGGTCATTTTGCTAGACGAGGAGGCTACTTTTTAATGCAATAGCCATTTATGTGGGTAAAGAAAAAGACATTTAGCATTAAAGAGAACAAGCGAGGGAGTTGCAAACCTTTGTGTTAATTGTCCTATGTATCTGAAAAGTTGTATGGGAGAAAACATCACTACAGGAAAGTAGGAAATGGTACCGTTGTCCCAACCATCACAAAAGAAGATTTGAACTACTAACATAGCGAGTCATCTAAAAACCAGCTTAGAGGAAGTGGATTATCCCTTCCAGTCTAGTTTCTGAGCTGGGTATGGGACTGGTTCTCCATTGATTGCTCGAGTTGGATAACCTTTGTTAGGAAATGGATGGGAGTGTGCACCTTCTTGGTCCTTTTTGATCTTTCAGGAAGATACTCTGCACCATTGGAATTTGGAAAGTTTTTAGTCCCTTAAAGATGAAACAGGCTTTAAGCATTCAGAGAAGAAAAAGAGATTATGGAAGAATGGGAAACAGAACGGGAAAGAGTAGTGAGCATGCAGCTATGCCAAATAGAAATACAAAGAAAAGAGCAATAATAGTTTTGGCTTGCTGCTATGAAAAACTGAGATATATGCCAGCTAGTCCTATTGGCTCATGGCATGTGCAGTTTGTCAGAAGCAAAAATCAGGGATGGACAGAACAACTTCTAAGATATTTCAACTCAGTGATGACCGACAGATTGGATCCTGCAGCATTATCCTGGGACATGTACATTCGCCTTCATATTTCAACTCCGCTATTACTCACGCTTGCTAATGTAGGTGGGAACAAATGATATGGCAGATAACTTTACATTTCTAAAAATCATTTTCTCTTTTAGATGGAACAGCTCTCAGATGAAGAACTTGATCATGGTGCAGAAGAAGATAGTGATAAAGAAGATCAGGATCTGGATAAGATGTTTGGTGCTTGGCTTGGAGAGTTGGATAAACTCACACAGGTTAAAGGTTTTTTTTATAATGCTATGAGATGCAAACAGTAAAAGAGATCACTCTTTCTTACTATAACAGCTTTCTGTAACTTGCATCCTGAGAATGTGTGTATAGTAAAAAATGTCCTTAGTTCCAGCTGATGTGACTGCTGCAATCCACTAGCAGATTGGTTTAGGGCAGTGGTTCTCAACCTGTGGGTCGGGACCCCATTTGGGGTCGAACGACCATTTCACGGGGGTCGCCAAACAACACAGTCCGCCATTTTTTTTCCCCTTTTCCTTAGCTGTGCTACTCCTTTTTATTCTATTGGTTTTTGAAAGCCAATAGAATAGACTCTCTTGAATAGAGTCTAATTCTATTGGCTTTCAAAAGCCAATAGGAATTGTCCAGGCTGTCTCTGCCCTGCTGAGCCCGCCAAAAGTCCCATTCTGCAAACGGTGCTGCACCAGTTGAGTAGTCCTCGACTTACGACCAGTTGAGTAGTCCTCGACTTACGACCGGTTGGGGGTTGCGGCATTAAAAAGGTTGAGAACCACTGGTTTAGGGTAATGCTCTTGATAATATTGCTTGATAATATCAGCAAGAGAGATTGATTGCTCTTATGTAGTTCTTCCTATCTCTGGAAGCAGCTCACCAGGCTAATAAACCTCTAGCACTTTGGTATGCTTAATATTATGTCAAGAGTTTTGATTTCTGGCTTATTATATAATTCCTAAGTCTCCAATAATCCCCTATCCCTAGGCAACAAGGCAATGGGCCAGAAAAGGAGATGGACAACAAATTCCCCATTTCCCTTCCCCACAATGAATACACTTCCAAACACTTGGGCATTTTTCCTTGCCTGAATCCATAAAACTATTTTATTCTGATCTAGATTAATTATTAGTAGCCATTAAACATTTTGTACATACAAATTTTTCTAAGAAAAAAACCCTGTCAATGTGAGTGGACCAGCATAAATGTAATTGTTTCCTTATGTTCGTTTTTATATGATACAGTTTTGATTATTTTTCTCAAATTGATTTATTTAGAGTTTGGATACAGACAAGCCTATGGAACCAGTTAAAAGATCCCCTCTTCGCCAGGATGCTAATATTGCCAATTTCTCTTATCGTTTTTCCATGTACAACCTGAATGGTAAGATAGATTGATTTTTCCCCCTAGGTGAAATAATTTAAATTATATATTTGAGTACAAAACAAACAAAAAATCCTGTTGAAACCTATTACTTCATCTATAAGTATACAGTACATACTATTTTTCTAAAGAAAATTTCTCTGTTGAAATTTTTATAAAATATTGATAAAATTTTATGGAGTAGAAACAATTTAAACCCATATTAGATGAATTAGTAGTTTGATTTACAGATAATGCTAAGCCATAATGTGATTGATTTGGTTTTGACCCAGCATGATATATGAATTCACCCATAAAGAATATTGTTTATTCTGTCAGTAGAATATTCTCCATAAGCATTGTTTATTGGCATGTGAATTCTGACTTGTTCTAAATATGGCTTGATTTATATTTGAATCCAGAATAATTAGTTAATTTATTCTCTGACCATTTCCTCTGGGAAGTGGAAGTTATGGAGAAAACAAATTAGGACATGAGGAATTCGTTATTTCTTTACTTATCTACAAAAATAGCATTAACTTGTTTATCAGATCATAGTTAAAACAATTTTTTCTTAACATTATATGCAAAAACAGCCCATGCAGTAAAAATTGAAAGTCTGACAATAATTTCCATAAATTGATCAATATTATTGTTAAGACAGTCACATGTCTTCCCATACTGCTGCTACTTTTGTGTGCATATGTACACACAGCTACTTCATCTTTTCCCCCCCAGCAAAACAAAGTGGCTGTGCATAAAAGTGCCTGCAGAGACACTTGTGATCAGCTTCTGAACCTGATGCATGAATCTAGAAAAAGAGATAGCTGTTTTAATTTCAGAAGAAAAAAATCCAAAGAACCTCTTTTTGATGGATTCGCATGGCCCACCTAATCAAGTAAATCTAACATTAAAACTAAAATGTCTTTGATATAGTGGAACTTGATAATTGAAATTGGAATGTTGTGTATGTTCTTGTCATTCACTGCAGAAGCCTTGAACCAAGGTGAGACTGTAGATCTTGATGCTCTTATGGCAGATCTTTGTTCCATAGAGCAGGAGCTCAGCAGCATTGGTTCACAATCTACCAACAGTGCATCAATGAAATGTTTTCCCATAGAAGGGAAAATGACTCAGAAACCATCAAGTGGTAGCCGACTCCCTTCTAAGCACAGTAGCATGAAAGGATTATCTTCATCTAGTCAAGTAACAAAGCCGTCACATGCTGTCTTCTCCCTGGATGACATTACTGCGCAGTTAGAGAAAGCGTCTCTGAGTATGGATGAAGCAGCTCAGCAATCTATAATTGAAGATAGCAAACCTGTAGTTACTATCCAGCATAGGAGGACAGCATCAGCCGGTACTGTGAGTGATGCTGAAGTTCGTTCTATCAGTAATTCCTCCCGATCTAGTATCACATCTGCAGCATCCAGTATGGACTCCCTGGACATTGACAAGATGACAACAAGACCTCAAGAGTTGGATCTGATTTCACAGGGGCAGCCCATCAGTGAGGTAAACTATGATTGATTGTTCATAGCAATTAAGTTTTTAAAATATAATTTATTGGTTCATTTTGAGCCCTTTATAAAATAAAGAGACAGGTTTTACTATTTTCTTGTTTTCCTCTTAAAAGTTTGCTGCATAGGAGTCTTCTAGAGAGGACATCCATAACAAATTTTAGTAATTGTTATGATGATATGTGCTTAGATATAAGAGCAAAGTGATATTTAATCTTAAGCTACTTTTTTAATAATACTGCTTATTTGTTTGTGCAGCTAAGGATTTAAATATGGGCTTCCCCAAGATATAGAAGCATCCATTTTTATGGTATAGATGCTGGTATTATCTGAAAAAAAAAACATAATTTAGTATTAGCTAATGCAGTCTACATTGCACAGTGTTCTGATGTTGCTAAGTTGCTCTTACAGCACAGACCTTTCCATTGACCAAAATTGCAAAGAAAAAGACCAGAATCATTCAGCAGGGATGGATATCAGTTTAGTTGACTTTATAACTTTGTATGAATTCTTTTGAAAATTGAGCCATATTGGGGAGATGATGGATTGGTAAACTGAATTGTGACTGCAAAGAGGAAAACTGAGGTATGGAATGCAATAGAACAAGTAATGGAGAAAGAGATATTGTCTGAGGTAAAGGAGATGGAAAATGTGGATGCCTGGAGAATAAACAAGTAAAATTTGTTTTGAGAATGAATAGATTCTCAAGGAAAAATATGCCAGTCCTGAAATGGTTATTAAGAGGTAGTGAGGTTTTGGTGTTCTATATGTGCTGAATTTTATATGCTGTTCTTATCAGCCAATTGTTTGACCGTAGGCCAGATAAGTCAAACTCATGATGTCGCACAATGTATCGGGACTGTTTTGCCATTGCCAGCAATGGGGTGGGTGCGGCTTCCGCATGACACGTCCGGCCGTGGGCCAGCAATTTGACACCCCTGCTGTAGGCTGTTCTTAAGGAAAAATTGTATCATGAAGGGTCCTTGGTACTCTCTGAGCTTGCTTGTTTCCTTGCAGACGTTTCATTACCCAAACTAGGTAACATCATGAGTACTAGTGATCAGGACTAGCACTGATGATGTTACCTAGTTTGGGTAATGAAACGTCTGCAAGAAAACAAGAAAACTCAGAGAGCACCAAGGACCCCTCATGTCATCTCTGAGCTATAAATATTCTCTTTTATAAATTATATCATGAAGAAAAAAAATCTAAAAATCTGTACAAATAACTTGAAAGTTTGCCTTCTTATCCCTTTCTAAAATGAATAACTTCATTTAAATGTTGACATGTAATATATATCAACAATTCATTGCCAGAGATTAAATATAGATTTATCCTTCCACTATTCCAGCGGTTCTCAACCTATGGGTCGTGACCCCATTTGGGGTTGATCGACATTTCACGGGGGTTGCCAAGCAAGGCTGTCCGCCCTTTTTTTCCCCTTTTCCAGCGGGTGCCTTACCTCCCTTGGGCTGGGCCAGCTGGTGGCCCAGCCGGTAGTCGGCCTGCTCTGTCTCTACCGCTTACCAGCTACGCCTCGGCTGGCACAGGGGGCGGCACCATGCAGGGAAAGTCCTCGACTTATGACCATTGGGTAGTCCTCGATTTACGACCGGTTTAATCCTCAACTTACGACCGTTTGGGGGTCGCGACATTAAAAAGGTTGAGAACCACTGCACTATTCAGTACACACACATACCTCAAATTGGTAATCCTAGGACAAAGCTAGAACATTATATATGAGCTAATGTTCCAGTTTCTGATTTGCATTTCTGGTAGGATAATAATGGTGGACAACCTTTATTAAACATTCTTTGACTGTCTTATCCTCTATTATGCAAAAAGGATTTTAAATGTACTGACCTCATTTTAAAAAAATAAATTTCATATTCTTACAAGAACAGGACAAGCCTGTTCTATCAGTGATAACATGAATTATTAACACTAATTTCATCAAATGCCTTCATCTAATTATCAAAAGTTATTGTAGGACTAATCCTAATCACTGCACTGAATCCATAAACATGGCTTTTTCCAGCTGACCTGAGGAATGAATTGGCTAATGCATGTTTGATTGTTTGTACTGATGTTTTATTTTATTTTATTTTTAATAAGCTACTGTGAATTTGAATAGTTTATGACATACCGTATGAATGTAATGAATAAATGGGCAATCCTCCAATCCCTACTTTCTCCATTTCCTGTTCCACCTTTTGGGAGAATCTGGAAAAATATTGTGGTGGGGAATTAAAGAAGCTTAGGTTACCTTGAATTAACCAACAGCCCTAAATCATGATTCTCCTCTCTATCTTTATGTGCTATCAATACTCCATAGATCTCAGTGATTACACTGTGATTTAAATTCATCTGATCTCGTTTGTTAGGAAGAGAAAGTCATTTTAGATTCTTGTTTATTTTGTAAAGTGTACAAAATACTAAATTTCCTTTGTCCCAAAATCTATGTCAAAAGAAGGTATGAGAATTGTAAGATTGATGTGTTCATTTATTTTTTAAAAAAAAATTGAATCTCCATTGGCAGTAATTTTGTTTCTTTAGTAATAAAATGTAGAAATTTTTCCTTATTTGCAATTCATATTTGTATTAAGGTTAGGAATATGATTATTAATATGATTTTGGTCTACATCAGTGGTTCTCAACCTTCCTAATGCCACAACCCTTTAATACAGTTCCTTATGTTGTGGTGACCCCCAACCATAAAATTATTTTCGTTGCTACTTCATAACTGTAATTTTGCTACTGTTATGAATCATAAAGTAAATATCTGATATGCAGGATGTATTTTCATTGATACAAATTGAACATAATTAAAGCATAGTGATTAATCACAAAAACAATATGTAATTATATATTGTGAAATATTTATTTCTAATTACAAATAAATGAAATTTTGTCTTGAAGCATGGTGTAGCATGGGTAACAGTCTTAATATAACAACAGTAAACTACATCGCTACATTTTGCGACAGTATGCGGTAAAAAGCCAACCCACAGGTTGAGAACCGCTGGTTTAATGTATCCAGCAGTAAACTAAAGCAGGGGAGGGGCCTGGCTTTGCACAGCATCTAATCCCTTCCCTGTGAAAGAAAAAAAAAACTGAAGCCTAAAATGATGGCCAATAACTTTAGCAAATAACATAAATAGAGTCAGCAGGATCCTGTCCCGGACGGAGACCAACTGGGTTAATGTGAAAGACAGTTTTTACCAGGGAATCCTCAAGGATAAAGAGATTCTGCCTTAGGTATAGGTCTCCAGGTGTGATAGATTTGGCTGGGGGGTGGTGGTGGTGGAGAGGGAATTTCAACAAAAGCCTGCCAATCTTAAACCCTCAGACCCCTCCAAAGGGTTTTTTCCTGAAACTCGTGAGATCTTTTTCTCATTTTACATTCTCTTCCTGATGGAAAGAAACTATTTTCTAAAAAAAGTAGGCTTGGTTTTTCTCTGCAGAAAAAGTAAGGCCGGGAGAGCCTGGACTGGAAAAAATGAGGGGGATCACACAGTCTGAATCTGACAGAAGTCTGGGTATGCTGCCTTCTTTTGACAACCCCCTTCCCCTCTTTTGCATATTGGAGGGGCTGGGGATAAATTCTATTAAATGCGAGGAGCTGTCAATCAAAACCACCAGATCTGCACCTTCTGTCTGCTTCCTGTAGATGTGTAACTAAGGGCGATGGCATATAGGTGATCAGATTTCCTTTCTACAAAGCCGTCCTAGGCCTCTAAATCTCTTTTTTTTTCCCCCTTCTTTCTTTGGAGCCTTTGAAAAGCATTTTGAGCAAATAAAACAAGCCGCTCTCCAACTTTTTTCCTCCACCTTCTGTTAGGGGGCATCAAATTCACCCGATCTTCTCCTCTTGAATGTTATTTCTCTTGCGTTCCTAAACGGGCTCTTCCTATGATTTACTTCTTTCTTTTTTTTAATATGCCATTTATTCGTTGATATTTGAAGGTAATAAATCCGGGAGGTTAAAAAGTTTGAGCAAACTATTAAATGGCCAAGCCTTTGCCTATTTAATAAGGGATTGAAAAACCCGGACACCCGACCCTCTGGGGCTTTTTCCTTGCCGACTCCTTGAGCAGAAAAGCAGCCGAACCTCTCCGGTGGGTCTTTCCCTTCTTCCTAGGACCCCCCCCCATCAGCGCTCCCCTCCCCTGGCTCAGTAAAGCCAAAGAAGCGCAGAAAGATTCCCTGCCTGGGAAGGACTTTTTTTAAAAAAAAAAAAATGCCCCAGCAACAACTGTTGGATTGAAGATCCCCCAGATGCTATTTTTAAAAAGCTGAGAAGAGGGAAAGAAAAGAAAAAGAGAGAGACTATGGCTTTTTTTTTTTTTTGCACTAAAAAAGAGTGAGAGCAAGGGGAAAAAAAGGGAAATTCTCCTCAGCAGCTGGCTGGTCTGGCGGCGGTGCTGGTGGTGGAGCAAAGGGGAATCGGGACCCCACGCAAAGCTCTCCAGCCTTCCCGGGCTTCAGTCTGGGGGTCCCTTTTCTTTGCAAGTTGCAAAGGAAAGGAGGGGAGGGGAGGGGGAAAAAGTCGGGGTTTGGGAGGCCCCACCTCTTTCTTTTCAGCCCGGCTGGCTCGGCTTACTCGCTGGCTGGGGCTTGCTGACTCTTCCTCTCCCGCCCCCCGCCACCTTTGCTTTCGTGACATCGCCGCCTTTGATTTGAGTGCTTTTCAAAAATCGGGCTCGAGCCGCGCCAATCGATTCCTAAGACCATCGGAAATATGTATTTTCCGATGTTCTTAGGTGACCCCTGTGAAAGGGTTGTTCGACCCTCAAAGGAGTCACGACCCACAGGTTGAGAACCGCTGGTCTACATCAATGTGAGCAGCATAAATGTCAGAATGACAGATGAAACTCAAAAAGAAGGAAGAGGGAAAGGATAAAGAATATTCTGAGTGGCAGTCCACTTACACTGAGATGAATATTGCCTAATATGTTTTAAACCTTTGATTTTACTTCTACATTACTGTTTAGT